AAACATAGCAAGCATTCCTTCCTGTACGGTCTGGCTGGCATGTACACTTTGCGCAAGCTATTTATTAATTTGTTTTTGCATAACAACCATGCCATTTTGTGGAAAAAACTGTAGTGATAGCATATAAGTTGAATATAAATTATACAACGGCAAAAAACAAGCATATTAGAGTCCAAGATAGCCGGAAGGACAATGAAGTGATCCGCCCAAGCTTCCTAAATTATTACTTATGTTACAATTCCTCTAAACCGAGTTTTATATTCCCTTTTACTTTATATAGTAAAAAGGATAATCAATTTGTGAATAGCGCTCAAAAGAGACAAATTCAGCACCCAAGGCAACTCCTAACCTGGTTAACCAGTTAAACCAGGTCGGCGTCCCCAGTTGCTTACTGCGTGACTTGAAGGTTGAAAACCCAAAGGAAGGAAGTCCAAGCAAGTCCCCGTCGCAGCGTCACTGAAGTTCCGCAGGGTTTGTCATTGCTTCCGCACCTTGCTGGAAGATTAGCCCTGCCTCATGAGTTACAGAGAAGCGAAGGCGAGTGCAGGCTCGAGTTGACCCCCAGTGTCATTGCGAGCCAGATGGGGAGAGGCGGTGAGGGGCCGTTTTCAGAGATGCGTCGCTTCCCCGGCAACTGTTCGAGTCCTGTTGTGGATATATGAAAACACTTCTGGCCTACTATCACATATCCTAGTCATTGGTGTAACGTTCTTTTGTCTATGGAGCCTTATGGGGGAGGAAGTGCTACTGCCCGACTACCTGGCTCTATTCTCAAAAATAAGACTAGGCCGTGGAGGACCAATTTACAGTATCTTTGTCGGTTACGCGGTTGCCATTCCGGCGCGACAGCTGACAGAACGTTTAGGGTTACCCGGGTCCATAGGTCAGTGAAGGCGTTTTCTAAACCATATTGTTTGATAATCAAGATTTGTTGCTAACGAAAACAAGGGACCCTAAAACAACCATTTCTGGCTCATTTGCTGTTATCCGACACTTGCTAGCTCAAGACGTAGCGAAGCTAGCTTGTAAATGTTTGTTTTAGGTTATATTACATAGTTGCGCCAAAAGTAAAACAGCTCCACCAACAAAAAATCCTTGGAATTAATTCATTATCATTTTCAAGTATTTCAGTTGTCCA